GTCTTGTTCCACTTAAGACATTCCCTAAATGCACATCATCTACTTCACTGTGAGTTAGAAGTTTTTTTTAAATAAAACAGTAATTTTCAGTTCAGAGGTTCACTTCAACAGCGGGAATATCATCGTCTTTGCCCTTTTTAGATCATTCACACCAATTTGCAACGAAGTACTTTCATACGAAATGACTCTAAACCGATGCCTTCATCCATGTGCCATCGATGTTTTTTACCCTGTCAATATCACCAAAAAATCCATTCAGTTATGAAAATCAATTGACTCTCATCTTTGCCTATTTTCACTCCTCTGTATCAATAATTCTTCATAAATTTTTAATGACCAGTTTCTTTGTCACTAACTGATGAGTGTTTCTGGATACCCAGCTTTGCTGCAAAGTAGAAATTACCCGTCTTGTAAATTCTTATCATCAAACCAAATGCCTTAATGTTCTTCGTTGTCAACATGAGCAGTCCTCATTCGCAATGCTCATCACAACCGTTCTCATTATCGCCACTACAGACATAGTAAACATCATTTTTTCAACAGACGACATTTTACGATCATTTCAAATCTGCACTGATTTGTTTGCACGTGTAACTTTGACTGTGATAAGTTATTCTGTGTATTTTCTCTACGTCGTTTGGTAAAGCATTTCTCCTTTTCCTTCTGTTTTTTATATGATCTCATCAGATGTTTCTATTTCACCCTTATGGATCATCAATTAGCTACAGTTCTCAATTCAAGCTGACATCAGCAAGTATCTTCTTCTCTTCCTAGCGTATCAGGAGATTGTCATGAGATGTTGTTGACTGTACTTTGGTCAGAGTTCTGCTTTAGGCATATTTTCATTTGTGTGGCTGATGGCCTGGGTTTTCATCGGAAGCAACACACCGTCAAACAATAGGCTGATCAATCCTAAAGAAACGGCGTACATCACCAATATGTTGAAATTGGAGGTGAACACCATCGAATCGCAGGTAAAGCTTTGTAGATTTATCAAAACACAAAAAATTGAATGACAAGTGCTCAAAGAAGGCCAGTTATTGCTGTGACTTTCCGTTCTTCTTTACACGTGCCATCATCTCGCCTTTCTTTCAGAAAATTTCGGTGCCTTGGCGCTCCTTGTTCACATCCATACCTGTGTGGGCGGCGTTTATCGCACACTGGGCTGGTGATTGGGCTGCCTACGCCATGTTAACCGGTCTTCCGCTGTACACCGATAACGTCCTGAAAATGGACATTGCGAAGGTGAGAAATTTGATTACCGTAAATGCAGAGACGAAATGTAGAAAATAGTTTGAAATATTTGAAATGTCTCTCGACACTGCTAAAGGAACAGGCGTAATCACTGATAAGTGCTTGAAATCCCCTGAACGCCACCGTAGCCAAATATTACTAGATGGTGCCCAGGTGCCAATTTAAACGTTATGCTGTTCATATTTTAGCTGTGGGATTGCAATCGTGATAATTCACTAAGCTACATTTGAGAATGAATGAGGAACGCTCATTCTAACCCCCCTACGTCCTCCAGTGCCTCTAGTTACGGGTTTCCAATCGGAGCACTCCTCAATTCAAGCATTTTTCTGAAAGGCATGCGGAGATTCGCCAACCTTCAGCTACCGCCTTGGAGTTGATCACGTGTTTTCGCAAAACAGAGAGAACAGCTACATAGATTGCATGGCACTAGAAGTTTTACTGAATGTAGCAGGCAGTTATATGCCATAATTTGCATATAATAATGATGATATGAAATTTCAGCTTGGATTGTTGCTAGCAATACCTTACGCGGCGTACTTTGTGTTCATCAACGTCGGAGGATTCACCGCAGATTTCGTTCGGTCGAGGAAACTGTTGAGCACCAAAAACATACGTAAAGTGATGACGTTCTTGGGTAACGATGGCCTTGAATCCTAATTGCCAGAGAGCACCGCATCGTGTATATTTTAGCATATATTCCTCAGGCGGCTTTCTTGCTGGCCGCCGGTTACTGTCGAGAGGGTCAAGAAGCGTTGGTGATAACCTTCGTCTCACTTGGCCTCGGTTTCAGCGGATTAATGTATTCCGGGTGCGTCACGAACTACATGGACATTGCGCCGCAATTTTCGGGCACGCTGTTTGGTATAGGAAACACGCTCAGTTCAGCAGCCGGCATCATCGCACCGATAGTCATGGGAGCTATGACGTCTCACGTAAGACCGTAAGACCTTGCCTATTCTGAAATGATCGATCTGAAGTACTACTCGTTTTGCTGGAGTATATTTCTTAAGTATGGGTAACTCTCAGACGCAAGACTGAAGAACTCATGTGGTACGGCATATAATAACCGCTGTTCAACGGTAATTATGAGTTATTACGACAGACTACGGTATTCATATTTCTACCATACAAAATGGAATTGAAATGGATTTAAAGAAGCGAATTACAGGCCATTCAGACTGTTACAAATTTAAATCATCTACGAGATTTAAATTCACAATGGTAGTGAAAAAAACGCGTCAGCTATAGTTGCTTAGAGAGACATAAGAGCAAGCACAGTTCAGCGGCTGATTTCACTTGATGGTTTATTTCAGATCATATCTCACAAGTTTCATACGAGTAATGACCATTAGTATTTAGACATCTACTAAATAGACGGAGACTTTATTGTCATCACTTTCAAGAACATAACTGCCATTATAAAAGTGTATAAAGAAATCAACACATCCACAGCCGAGGAAACATCTGGTAAGGTAATGCAGTATAGACGTTATTAATTAGTCATTTCTGATATGTTTAGGAGTTGTAGGGACACTCAAGCGGGAAAGTCAATCAGGAATTTAAGTTCTAGGGATTTACTTAATCCGTATCACTTGCAGGTGATGCTTTGCCCGCTGAAACACAACTTGAGATCTAAAATACAGCAACCTCAAAGCTAGCCTAAAAATGAATCATCAGAAGAAGCAGCACATGTCTGACCAGTGCGCTACCCGTCAACGGTTGAAGTGAATGAAGACAAGGTTAAAGAGTTAAAGAGAGACTGCACGGATTTGAGGTAGCCGAAAAGAAGAGTTCAAATGGTATGGGCTACTTGAAGATAGGATTGAAGATATTCTTGACGGTCCATATGCCTGAATCGCAGTAGCTTCTATCACTGCGTACTTTCAGTTGATGCGAAACATGTTCCGTACGAGTGAAGCGGTTCAGAAGCAGGAAGTGGTTCTGCAGCATGACAAAATGCGTATTAGGAGTAAAAGGACGACATCAGGACATTGACTGAATAAGAGCCGTAGATGGACCTGTAATGTCACTGTAAGAGTGACTCATATTAAATTTCAATGGGATCGGCATATTGCTAGAAACAGACTATCGACAGACGATGCACATGTCAGTCTGAAAAGATTAAATTGAAAGGTGCATGAAACAGGTAGGCATCAGCGTCAATGGCAAGATAAAATCAAGAAGTTTATTTTAGCCGCGGAACAGAGTTTTCTGGAAGGAGTCAGGGAGAATTCGCTACTACCACCAAGATACTCTTGAATATTCGCCACTAACACCAAGATCTGCACCAACGATGGCTCGCACAAGACTCACGTACTGATTCCATAGCTCATCGCCGCGCTTCTCCTACTCACTTCGACTTCAATCGGTCGCGCGATCCGTTAGGGAACGGT